CCTCTACATTTAAAGTTACATAGTTCTGAACTTTTCATGGTAGAAGTTCTTTCCACGCCTACGCTTCTGCCTCTGGGCATGTGCTCTAATGGTATGGTACCTTATGGTGGCACATAGGGTACACACGCAGCACATCCCTCAGCACATTTACCGACAGCAGTGTAGATGGGAAGGTTCTGCGAAGGACAGCAGAATGCAGACACACCACAACCCTAGGCTATATATGTAGCCTACACACCCAAATAAGGCTTCCCCCCATCTACCCTGCTATTTTTAGCAGCGTGGAGTCCCCCTGTTTCCCTGCTGCCAGAGCTATCCCCCTGCTGCCTCTTTATCAAAGAGGGGGAGGCAGGAGCTGGTACCTGTGGGGAGCCGGCTTTTAAGCTGCCTCTCCATGCGTGCCAGCTCCCAGAGCTGCCTAGGTGGCGGGGGAGGGGAGAGACGGACAGGCAGGAGCTTGTATGCATAGGGAGCCAGCTTTTAAGCCAGCTCTCCACACCTGCCTCCCACAGAGCAGTTACATGTTTCAGCAGTTACAGGTTTATACAGGCACAATTTTTAGCATCCCTAGTGCAGAGACAGAAGGCTGTTTCTGAGGGAATTAGCACACCTTCCTCTCAACAGCACCGCCCAGTGGCTAGCTTAGGCCGCTCCCAGCCCAGGGAGCTGGCTTTTGTGGATCCCATTTTAAGCCACCTGTGTCTCCCTATTCATTGTCCAGAGAGCCTCGGTGTCTAACTCAGACTTTGCGGCTCTCACTGTTGTTCCGGTGATTATCTAGGTGGGCGAGGCTGAGCGCTCCAGAGCCTATGCTGCTGTGTGGATCTGGGCTTTATCCCACCATCTGTAAAACAGGGGCAATAGTCCCTACCTTACAGGGCTGTTAATACCTTTTGAGATGCTCTGGCAATAGAAAAACCTGCACAAGAGGGGCTGGGCTATTTCAGACTCTGGGCAGAACAAAGCTCTGGCAGGAGCTCAATGTCTCCAGTGCAGTGTCTGCTCCAAGCTTCTGATCAGACCACCCGTCTGAAGGCCACGCTCCTACTGCCCAGATCCTTCAGACGACAGGTCAGACTGTTTCCTTATCATTGAATTTTCAACTGCTCAGCACCCTCCTTCCCAATGGACCTTGAGATTTTCAAAGAGCCAGATTTTCTGTTGTGTGCTGCACCCAGCCGCGCCCACACAGACACTATCCCTCGGGTTTTCAGATCAACTCAGCATGCAGGGTGCAGGGCTCTTCAAAACCTGCCCCGTTCACTTGGGGTCTAACCAGGAGCCAAGGAATGGGAAACGCCTGTACAACTGTAAAAGACGGAGTATAAGAGTTTCCATCTCTGAATAATGCCTGTCTCTGACACAGGCCAAAGGAGGAGGAAGGCAGTTAACCGCCTTATTGTGCAATATTAACTTGGGGGAGGGGGGAGTGGAAGAAATACTTTCTGACCCTGCTTGGTAATCACTTTATACCCTGGAGGCTTGAGTAATTATATGAAAATGATTGTGTAACTTTAACCAAAAAAGCCCAGACTGCTCCGGTTGTGAGGGAACAATCAAGGCCCCATCGCAAAGTGATCTCTTCTGACTTGAATTATCTTAGGTGAAAAGGACAGAGCTTAGAAAGGAGCGGGGAAGTGCCGGCCTCAGGCCTCGGCTTGCTTTCTGTCTACAAAGAGATATGCTGCAAACCCTTGAGGAGTGACTGCATCGCTTATGTTATCACCAGTCCCTGGTTTGCATACATCATTAAATGTCACATGCTGCCAGCCCATTACAGAACTAACTGCTTGGGCACACAAAGAGAGGCCGCACAGAAAAAAGCCTGGAACAGGATTAAAAGCAGCCAAATCCAAGAAAGCACGCGATGTAACTGGGGATTTTATCATAGCGATAGCATCTTGCTAAGATTGAGTCCAAACCTCAAGCCCTTGTTCAGCTAACTCAAGTTTGAGTAAGTAGTTCAGGATTTAGCACAATGGAGAGTTGACGGGAGCCAGTGTTAAGTGATCCTGCTCCCTTTCAAAGTCAGTGGCCAGATTCCCACTGATCAATTAGTTCCCAAGCAGGGACAGATGTCTTGTTCCTAGCAGCTCAGGCTCAAGCCCCCTGCTGTAACTGAACAGCAGCAAGCACGGTCACTGATAAAGGAATGTTTTGATGTGCAGTAATTCATGCAAATCATGTCACTGTTCACACATTTCACATGGGATGTAAGTCACTGATGTTTATTTCCTTGTTGGTATTTAGACATTAACCTCCACCATGCATACTTTAGTTAACATCAGACTCGTGCTTTCTAGGCATAATTTGCTTATCTGCTTTGTAATATCGTGGTAGAGGTTGCTTTTTCAGAAGATTAATAGACCTTCTTTACCATCCCTGAGTGCTGTTTCACAGCACCCTCTTCCAGGATTGAGCCATGCTTCTCGGGAAAACGTGTTTGTATTTAATTATGTATAAAAGACCCATCCACTGGGGAGGGTCGTCTCACCTAAAATAATGTTACTTATATCTAAACGGAGCATGGACCATGATTTCCAGATATCAAACCCAGTTGCTTCAGCATAACTCACTCTATCATCTGTTTATATTATGGTAGTGTCCGGAGACCCCAGCCAAAACTATGCCCCCTGTGTGCTGGGTAATCTCCAGGGACAGTCTCTGTTCAAAAACTTTAGGACTTATATAAACAGGGAAATGTCACCCATAAAATAAACTGAATTAAGGCCACTTTAATTCTAAATGAAAGTGCTCACACAAGAGTTGATTGCACTTTAATCCATTTTAAATTCACTCCCAGAGTTAATCCAGATTAATTTTTCCAAGGTGTCTGGGTGTCGACAAGGCCTTTGAGTCTAAAGAGGTTGGAGCAAAACAGAGGCAGGGAGTTGAAATGCCCTGTATGGGGTCACCCAGTAGGCTAGTGGCAGAGCTGAGCAAGAATAATGCTTTATCCACTGACACATGCGCCCATCCTATTCCATGGGGTGGGTAAAAACTAAGCTAATAGTTGGAGTTTGGGCTAGATTAGGCTTTCTCTCCAATAGATCCCCCCAGCCCCCAGTAGAGTTGTCTATAGTTTCCTCCAGAAGCACTAGCCTTGGTTGGAGCATCAATGCCATGGACAAGGTAACAGCGGCTGCCAGGCTTTTAACGATCATGCCATCTAGATTGCTGTAAAACTGGTGGTTAAAATGTAACTGGCACCTTTTATACAGCAGCATATCCACGGTCGCTACTAAAGGGAGAGCTGAGCTGATGGTAGCCCCATGTCTTGGGGTGGGGAGCACAACCCTTCTGGGGGAGGCAGTACTAAGGCAGGTGTCAGTCTGCATCCAGTGGCCCATACCTAATATGATATTGTCCCTTTCTAAGCCAGTTTTCTGTTCTTGTCATTAACGCACAATGCAGGAATACATATGGCCTGGTTCTACTCCCTGCTCTGCCAATGATTTCCTGTAGGATCCTGGGGGAGAGGGAATCACTTTAGTGAGATGTGCCTTGGTTTCCCCACTATAAAATGGATAAGCCCCTCGGCAAGGCCTTTTTGTAAAACACATGAAGTCTTCAGCATAGCAGCACAACATATTATTTGTCCTGGCTGTGTCCTAGGAGAGCACTACACTATTGAGCCAGACAAACTGTGCTTCCACTCACTCAGCAGGACGTTTGCCTGAATAAGAATCAGGGTCAGCAATAGTTGCTGCTCTCTGATCCAACAGGGGAGAAGAGAGAGAGTGTGTGTGCAAGATCCAAGAGGGCCCAAGGTAAAAATCTCAAGATCCACTGGCCTTGACTAGATCCAGGGGTCTCCAGAGCCCTGTATACATCAGTGCTCACTAGAGGGGTTTGCTTCAGTTCCAAAATGCATCAACCTGTGGAACTCCTTGCCAGAGGAGGCCGTGAAGGCTAGGACTATAACAGAGTTTAAAGAGAAGCTAGATAATTTCATGGAGGTTAGGTCCATAAAAGGCTATTAGCCAGGGGATAAAATGGTGTCCCTGGCCTCTGTTTGTCAGAGGCTGGAGAGGGATGGCAGGAGACAAATCGCTTGATCATTGTCTTCGGTCCACCCTCTCTGGGGCACCTGGTGCTGGCCACTGTCGGCAGACAGGCTACTGGGCTAGATGGACCTTTGGTCTGACCCAGTACGGCCGTTCTTACGTTCTTATGTTCTTATATATCATACAGGAAATACAGCTAGGGTTTTATAAAGCAAAAAGAAAGAAACAGCCTGAAAAGGAAAACAAAACAAGCAGAAAGAAACTGTCCATTTGGGAACTGAGTAGGCAAGATATCATGTGATTCTGCACAGACTAGACAACTACATTAGCCTCTTGTGTGTGGTTCACGCCATACACCTTTAAGAAGCTGGGTTTGGAAGCCCAAGAGCCCTTTGTGCTGATATTTGACTATTTCCTTAAGAATAAATGTGCCACAAATGTGTTTTACTAAGCAGAAAGAAACTGTCCATTTGGGAACTGAGTAGGCAAGATATCATGTGATTCTGCACAGACTAGACAACTACATTAGCCTCTTGTGTGTGGTTCACGCCATACACCTTTAAGAAGCTGGGTTTGGAAGCCCAAGAGCCCTTTGTGCTGATATTTGACTATTTCCTTAAGAATAAATGTGCCACAAATGTGTTTTACT